TTGATTACTCGTGAATATTTGCAAGCCACATAGTGTCATCCATAGCTTAATCTCTACTAATGATAACACCCGACTATATACGACTTAATTACCACCAACTGTACTGTAATATTTGTAGGGATATCGTAACACACTTGGAAATATTCAAGTACTAAATTTAGTTGAAATAGTGTATATATCAGAGTTAATACACAATTCACTTTGAATCAGGGCCGTTTTTTAGGGGGTTCAATAGGTTATCCAGAACAGAGCCCCCAGATTTAAGGGGCCCCATATTTTTAAAAATTTATTAGTATTATATAGTAATATTATATATTAATACTAATCAATAAAATACACTTAACTGGCTAGTGAAAAAAACAAATATAGATACATCGTTTTTTCGTTGTTCCTTTTATTCTTTTAGTTCTTTTTTAATGAGTATTCCATTGATTTGAGTATAACTATTTGGATTGAGATTTTTTTAAATTCTTTTATATTAATATGGGGCCCCGATTTTAGATTTTGAACCAGGGCCTCCAAATTCATTAGACGGCCCTGCTTTGAATACAACTCCAATAAGAGAAGTGAATTGTTCATATAGAGATAATATATTGTCTAATGTATATGGGGTTAAATTCTCCAGGTAGACTCAAGTACGGTCACAATATCATGAGTGATTCGAATATATTGTGTTATATTCGATAATTATAGAGTAAATCAATGTGTATGTAATACACATAACTTCTCAATGAACATATGATCATTGAGTACATACTAATTCCTTGAATAAAATGAGTATCTATAATATAACATGACAAATTTTAAGTCATCGAACTTTATGTATACACTCAATATTTGTCAATTATATGTAAAGTGAGTCGTATCACAAATTGAAACTCGGTTTCACTATAGTACATAGGGAACCCATGAGAAGACAATATTACTTTGAGATTACACACTAGTAGAAAACTGTCTTATAGTGACACTTGTGTAGTGACACTTTTCTCTATAGTGTCATGCACAAACGACATATACTATTTACGATGCTTAAGTGTCATACGTTTATGACATAAAATGTCAATACATACTAGTGATACAATATAAAAGAAATGCAGATTTTTAGCCTTTCCCAAATTTTCACTTTTCGTTTCCCTCCATATAATTTAACTCCCTCCATGTATTTTTACTTCTTACTTCGTATTTCTTATGGAGTATTAACCACTCCATCCATTAAAATAAACCATACCCAGACTCTATTCCTTCACTCAATAAATCCATCACAGATAATAACCCTAGTCGATGTTCTGCAATGAACACGCTCTAAGGTAGGGCCTTCGATCGATTCTTTGTGAAGAACCCTAGCCGCTACTTAGCCGGTGACTCTCACAGCACCACAGGCTCTCGTTCATCTAGTAAGAACAACATCTACCGGTGAATCGCTGTCATCTGTCAAGGAAATCGTCACTGCTCTCAATCGTGTACGGACGCAAGCCATAGCTCTACAACTACTGCGAAGAACACCCACGACTCTTAATATTCTGTTAACAACAACTTTAGGTCTGTTTATAATTAAGAAATATCTGATTTAATGACATTTTTAGTTTATTGTGCAAAACATCAACTGAATGTGACGATTTTAGTAAAAAGTCAACATCTTGATTGTTTTTTTCACGTATACGGTTCCAGTGTTGTGTATTTCCTTGAAATTAAGAGAAAATGATAAGTTCGACTTTATTTGTTTTCACTTTTCAGAGGCATTGAGCATGAGTTTTCTGACCTTTTAAAAATGTTGTTGAGCATGGGTTTGGGCTGAATTTATATCTTAAGATTATTGTTTTGACTATTGGTCTCGTGAATAAGCATAACTGGTAGTCTTAATGTCTGGACTCTTTACTCATTTGGTCTTTCGTATTGAATTTATTGGAGGAAGAAATCACAATCTCGTGTTTATACCACTATTAGTTTTTACATGCTCACAAACTGTTTGATAAACTTTCTGAGAGAACTTATTTATACTATTATGCTTTGAATGCTTACATGATGACTAAGTCCAAATCTGAAATGAACTATTTATAAATGTATATTGCTATCAAAGTTTGCTTACTTTCTAGGAAAGACAATTGTGAATCTGCTAAAATTTATTTTTGTTTATCACTATTTTCAAATGATGATTAGTTCAATTTTTTATAGAAGGATCTTAGGAAAGGATGCACTATTCAATTTTGATGAGTACTGAGTATATAATGGGGTTTATGATCCTATTCAACTTCCAACCAGTGCGCTCTCAGGACAGGTATTTGTTTTCTGCGTTAGTTACATTGATTCTTTTTCATATTATCCATCGAAATTAATTTAAAAATATGTTATCTAAGTAGTCACAGGAGAATTATTTCCTTTTAGTTGTTTTTGAGTTTGTTTATGAGCTTTACCGCTCTTTGAAGTCTGTTTCAAGGCATATGCATATCAGCAATCAGTCTTGTTGACGTGCACTTTGTCGTGGTGTGCACTCAAAGTAATAATACAATACAACACTTATACATAGTATAGCGTAGTAAGGTTCGTATCCACAGGGAAAGGAATGCTTTTCTTTTTATAGAACTAGTAACAAAATGGGGGGTTTTAGTTTGATTTGGTTTAATAAATTAAACACGAAGATGAACGAGTTATGTGGTTTAATTAATGAGAAGAAGATTTGGCTTTGCTTTTATCCACTTAATGAAATGTTCGTCGATCCCGGTTATATCTTTAACTATCTTCCAAATTTGACGTGCACTTTGTCGTGGTGTGCACTCAAAGTAATAATACAATACAACACTTATACATAGTATAGCGTAGTAAGGTTCGTATCCACAGGGAAAGGAATGCTTTTCTTTTTATAGAACTAGTAACAAAATGGGTGGTTTTAGTTTGATTTGGTTTAATAAATTAAACACGAAGATGAACGAGTTATGTGGTTTAATTAATGAGAAGAAGACTTGGCTTTGCTTTTATCCACTTAATGAAATGTTCGTCGATCCCGGTTATATCTTTAACTATCTTCCTCTCGAATACTCAATCGAGGAGTATATCCAGTTCATCGAGGGTAGTTATTAATAACGAGACGCGTTCATTAATAAAACTTACTACCGAGTCAATATAGAACAAGCGCCGTATATTAACTTGATAGTAGCAATAAAATCAAGATGAAAGCGATTGAGATTGATAACCTCAACACAAGCGGTTTATTGGTTTAATCAATATAATTAATTCCCCTTGACTCATTAACCATGAGAAGCATGCATTAACAATCCAAGTTTACTACCGTGAAAGGATCGAATTAATAACAAGCGTATTAATCGACCGATTCTAGTAATAATTAATATATGAAACAAAACTAGTTGATCCTTTAAGTAATGTTCAAAATATTAATATGAAATATGAATAGGAATTAATTAATACTCAAGGAAGAATAATAAAGAAGATGAATCCTACTATAGTTAATATCAAGATGTTAACTAATTGTCATCTTAGTAACACTTCCCAATATTAACATAGAGGAAGAAATAGCTATTACTATAACTAATGTCAAGATGTTAACTAATTGTCATCTTAGTAACACTCCCCAACATTGATATAGAAATAGTATTTAAAAGAAGAATTAATATTCAAGGAAGAAGATTAAAGAGAATAACTCACAACTTACAAATTCATTAAGCTTCAAAGTAGCAAAACCAAGATGGAAGAGTTTAGCTCCTCATTTGGAGACTAAACATGATAGAAAATATAAAGAAAACACTAATCTAAACTGAGCTAAAGAGTATATGTGAATTGGTGATTTTATTGTGAAGGAAAGGGGTGTATTTATAGGCTTTTGGGAGCTGCAGGGTCTGATACCCGACCGGGTATATAGGATACCCGACCGGGTATCTCAAGAAATTGCCCAGAAAGTGATTTTTCTGGGCATACCCGATCGGGTAAGGGTATATACCCGATCGGGTATGTGACAAATCTTTATGAAAATTTGCTCCCACGATCATTTGTCTTCGGATTTGATTTGGACAGTCGAATCAAGCAATTACCCGATCGGGTATAGGCAATACCCGACCGGGTACATGAGTATTTTTTCCAAATCGAAATCTTTCTTGTCTCCTTGCACTTTCCTTGATCTTTTAAGGTCCAATCTTGATCCCTTAGATGATCTTTGACCTGTTTAGCTCAGAAAAATCCTAATCTAACTAAATTACAAATAAAAAATGAAAATAAAGTATTACACCAAAAGTGTGTAATTTTCACAACTAGAACTAATAAAAACTAGTTAAAAATACAAATATACAATTGGAAATTACATGAATATCACTTGTTCATTGATGGTTATTACAAAAAAAATCCTTCTATAGCCTTGAAGTAAGAGAACCTGTAACACCGTTCCCAAATGTATTTACTTTTAAGAGTATAATGTATTGAACCTTACGGAATGGTTAATGAGTATACGAAGTTGTGAATTTTTAATATTTCTTTTGCGGGAATAGTAAATTCGCACGCGGGACCCACACCGGGAGCGGGGCCGCCCGATATTCCCGAGACCGGATATTTTATTCAACTTGGTCGAAATAATATTTATATAGAGGTGGAATATTTATTTGGTCCAAAGGAATGACATAATGTGGACCGATTGGTAAAAAACGGCTCAATTACCGATATTGGTAATTTAACCGACAAAAGCCCGAAATTGGATTTTGGGGACCTATAAATTAAATTTGGGAAATGTATATTCATTATAAGGGTCATAATGATTGAGAACGCATAATATATTTTATTTGACCCGATAAAATAAAATATATTTAAAACAGTCCAAAAAAATACAACTTTCGGGACCAATTGTACACTTCTGGACAAAAAGGGTTGACCTCCCACATGGGTGGGGGCCAACCCACGAATTTGGCCTTTTTTTTTTCAACACTTTGGCCGGCTGGTGGGAATGGGTAACATGGGAGGGGGTGTTGAATTGATAGAAAGAGCATCAAACAAAAATGAGATGGACCCCCATCCATCCTCATTTGATCTTTGAGACAAAAGACTCTCTCCTCACCCATCTCTCCCTCATCCCTGCGGCCAACACCCTCAAGCAAGAGCCAAGAAAAGTCCCCATCTTTCTTTCTCCATTTTTGAAGAAGCTCTAACAAGAAGGAAGCTCTAGGAAAAAGTTTAAGTTCCAAAAGTGTACAAAACTTGAGGAAAGGCTAGGTAATGACTTCATTTACCTTTTCCTCCTATTTTTTCTTGAATATATTATTATTTGAGAAATTATGAAGAACCCTAGGATTGTTCTACATGTTGATAAATGTGGAACAAGGGGTTGGAAGGTGGTTCTATGTCCAAAAATGGATTTAGAAGCCAAACCGACAAGTTCACTGGAAAATAACCTTTTAGAGGTTATGTGTATTGATTAAGGTTTTATGATGTTAAAACCTTGTTAGGAACTTGATTTAGAGTATCTTTGAGTTTCGCCGGAGTTTCGCCAGAGTTGGTCAAAGTTGGCCGGAGTTGGACAAAGATTGCCAAATTTCAATCGGGAAACGTAGATCGCACTTAAGCTCACTTAAGGTGAGGATGACTGACTATATTGCTTATAATTATTGGGTTAATTTCATAAGATTACCTAAATGAATTATATGTGTTTGGCATGATTTATTTATAATAAAAAATGCCTAAATGAGATTATTATTGTTTATAAGCAAAAATGCATAATATACAAATTTATGAATAAATTGTGTATGATTATGTGTTATGAATACAATGGTATAATAGTGTGTAAACTATAAATTAAATTGTGATAAATATACTTTTACCTCATGTAAGGAAGTCATGGAAGGATAAAAGTGATATTTTGATATTAGAGCCAAGTATACTTGAATGTGGAATTAAATTGAAATATTCAAATTATTATGAATTTGCATTGGTTTATTAAGGTTAATTGACTAGTATAGAAATACTAGTCGGGAATGCTAGTTCAATAGTATGTTGGGAGCTAATCCCAAGATATTGGAGTTAGGTAACCTTAAAGGATATGTTTAAGCTGGACTTTATGAACTCAAGTTACATTTGGAGTAGGCCTTAAGGGTTACTCAAAATGGACGGAACCCAGACTAATAAGTGGTTTAGGGATTAGTGACGTGACTATGAGCCGAGCTCTAACACAAATTAGTATGACTATGAGCCGAGCTCTAGCAAACGTAGGGTGACTATGAGCGAGCTCTAGCACAAATTAGTATGACTATGAGCCGAGCTCTAGCAAACGTAGGGTGACTATGAGCCGAGCTCTAGCACAAATTGATATGACTATGAGCCGAGCTCTAGCATGGAGAACATGAGTTAATTACAAATGAAAAACATCTTAGATTGAGGGTCTTGGAAATTGAAACTTTGATTATACTTAGTATAGTTGTCATTGTACTTGTCAAATGCTTCCCAAGTACTGACCTCCCCTTCACGGGGGAGGCCACCTCACAGTTTCAGGTAGAACTTGAAGGTTGCTACCAACGACGTTGCTCTCGGGAGGATCCAAGGAAGGGGAGGCGCGGTTCGTGCTTCCTCTGTTTCCATTTTTACAAACTATTTAATTAATGCTCATGGATAATATTTTTTGAATATTTATTTGGGGGTTTGTATGCCCATGTTTGCCAAGGTGTGGCATGAATACTCATATTGAATGTTTCCGCTGCTATGAATGAATATTTTACATTATGTTTGTTTATGGATGTACTATGTGTGAATGATATTCCAGACGCCTTGTATAGTATGGATGTGTTGGACTGCGGTTGACTATTCGTACTGTACGGCGGATTGTTGACGTGTCCGGTTAGGTCCGGGGCGTGACAATTTAATTGGTATCAGAGCCTTAGTCCGTAAACTTCATAATGAAGCTTCAAAATCCCTTTTGAAAATGATTTTGCAAACCATGAGCATAAAGTTTTGTACTTATAGAACTTTTGGTACTTGAGTTGCAAGGTCTCTAATTGTTAAGATGGTACCCTTAACAATTGGTATGGCGGTGATTTGAGCCAAAAGATGTCTTTAAGTACCTATCCGTCACTTGACATTTGATACGAGTCCAATGGCTGATTCTAAACTTCTTTCAGAAATGGAGCCAATTGGAAGGATCACTAGGAGGAACCCGACGGGCCGTGTACCAGGTGGGTCCGAACGCGGCAGCCGGGGGTCGACTAGGGTGTCAAGGGGAAGGGGCCGTGGAGGCCAACAACAAACCGTGAGCGATCACTACTAGAATTTTTATCATTTGCTGCTCCCTTTTTGCTGCGGTTGTTGGTGTACCCGCAGCAAAATGTTAAAATTTTGAACTAATTGCGGCGGTTACAAAAGAACCGCAGCAATATCTTAAATTTTTTTGGAGTATTAGCTGCGGTCACTACGGAACCGCAGCATTATCTAAAAAAAAATTGAATTATTTTTTTGGGATCTTTAATCACCGCAGCAAAATAATACCTAAAATAACCAGCCTCCATCGATCAGATCCGTAGCCTCCAAAAAAACCCCTCCACATCTGTTCGCACTTCTACACCCATCGTCCAAAAAAAACCCTCCAATACTCCATTGATCCTCCGCCCTTCCCAGCTGCAGCCTCCGAACGCCGACCCTCCCAGCCCCAGCTGCAGTCGTCGCACGCCCTCCCTCCTAGCCGCAGACGTCGCACGCGGCTCCTCCCAGATGTAGCCGCTGAACGCTGCTACAACTCCGCCCAACGCCGCTACAACTCCGCCCAACTCCGCCCAACTCCGCGCATCTCCTCCAGTAGCGGCTGAACGCCGCCCAACTCCGCTCCCTTCTAGTACACCTTTGCCGACTCAGTGGCTGAATAGAGGTTTATTTTCCAACGTTTTATTTTACATTTTATTTAATTTATTGAATTTTGTCAAATTTGTTGTACATTATCAGCATTTGTATTTATTGATAGAATTAGTATTGTGTTTAGATGATGGATAAATTGAATTAGTATTCATTAATGTTTGGATGAAATTAATGAGACTGTGAAGAAAATAGGGACCCGATGTCTATTTTTGTTGCTGAAGTAACTTCAATGTCGTTAAATGCCTTTTTTGCTGAACCAGTGAATATAAGTTACTGCATTGACTTTGTGGGAGGGGGGGATTTCGTTTCACGTTATGTAAGGCTATCTTGGAAATGTTAGGAAGATTATGTCATGTTATATGATTTGAGTTATAAGATTTGCAGCAAAAAGTTCAAACTTTACTGGGTTCTCATACTGTTGCCATACAGAATAGAGTGCAATTATAGTATATATGTAATACAATATTCTCTCCTAAGCTTTCTTTTCCATAATCTAATCTAACTAATTTAATCTCAAACAAGTTGTGGACTTTGAGGAAATTATTACTTTAATTGGGTTTTCAGGGAACTGTAGATTAGTACTTTGAATAGAGTGTAGTTATATGTTCTATACTATCAAAAGTTTCTTACCCATATTATTCATTGTTCTTCAAAAGTGATGTGTAATTATATGTCACTAAGCACCATAGTGTTCCTTTCTTTGAAAATAACTTAAGTTGTTTTTTAATCTCTATTTCTTTCTTAAAATGATCTATTAATTTCCCTAAATCATATTTAGGAGTAACTATTATCATACTTAAAATTAAGATATTATAAATGATAGGACCAAAGAAATAAGATAGCCTAAAACTGAGATAAGAGAGAGTTAGTCAATTAGTTAGCCTAATTTATTTGGTTATAAAATCTAACTAATGTGACTTACTTTTTTTTCTGTAAAGATGAATCGAAGCTGGATGTACGGTAAACGGAACACATTGGAATTTATGAATGGGGTAGCTGAGTTTTGCAAATGTTGTTTAGAATACAGAGCGTTGACTGGTTATGATGAGTTATATTGTCCTTGTGTTGATTGTGCCAACATATATTCATTCCGGTCAATAGAGACAATCAGAGAACATTTAATTCGCCGTGGATTTAGGCAAGAATACTATGTATGGGTGTGGCATGGCGAGAAAGGAGGGTATACAGAAGATCAAACCAAAGTCAATGAGATGACCAATATCACAATCGAGAATCTTTCTGATGCGGAGGGTGAGAATAATGAGGAGACTGAAAGTGAAAGTGAAGGTGAAGGTAACGATGAAGATGATATTGAAGATAATGATGAGAGTGACAACGTAGATCAAATCAATGAGATGATGGGTGAAGTGAAAGATCACTTTAGTGGACGACCACGTATATTTGAAAGTTTGTCACAAGCAGCAGAAAAACCATTATATCACGGGTGTACAAAATACACAAAGCTATCTGCCGTGATAACACTTTATAATGTGAAAGCCAAGAACAATTGGAGCGACACAAGTTTCACATCCTTACTGGAAGTATTACATGACATGCTTCCTGATGGAAATGAAATGCCAAAGTCAAATTATTATGCGAAGAAGCTCATGTGCCCGTTGGGTTTAGAGTACAAAAAGTTTGATGCATGTCCCAATGATTGTGTCTTGTACCGAAATGAATATTGCATGTTGAACAAATGTCCACGTTGTGGTAAGTCACGGTACAAGCGCAATGATGTCGACTCAAATAGTGATAAGAAAGGTCCACCGGCAAAGGTGTTGTGGTATCTTCCCATAATTCCGAGGTTGAAACGCCTATTTTCGATAAAGGCAAATGCAAAATATTTGAGATGGCATGGAGAGCAGCGAAAGAAAGATGGGATGTTGAGACATCCTGCCGATTCTCCCCAATGGAAGACTATTGATGAATCATTTCCAGATTTCGGTAAAGAAGTGCGGAATCTAAGATTAGCTCTATGCACTGATGGAATGAATCCATATGGGAGCTTTAGTAGTCAACATACTACATGGCCGGTTCTTTAGTGGTTATATACTACATGGGCTATATTTGTTTCTGACAATTTCTTGTAAACTCTTGTATGAATCATGTATGTTAACAATCTACTCCGTACATTTTTGTTGCTTCAGATGTTATTGACATTGTAATGTGCTTTTTTGGTGGTCTAAAACTTGTATTGTAATGATTGAGAACTTGGATGGTTAGAAATACAGGTTTCTTGGTGATCTAAAATTTGTTATTGTGAATTTAGAGCAAATAATTATTAAATAGGGCACATATATTTTAAATATGTAAAGTATTTGCTGCGGGTGTAAGGAACCGCAGCAAAAAGTAATATGTAAAAATTCAACGGCTTTTTTGCTGCGGTCGTAAGGGAACCGCAGCAATAAGTACTTTTAAAAAAAAAACGTTCCCTTATTTGCTGCGGTTGTAACCGCAGCAAATACCTGTTTTTACATTTTGCTGCCCCTGCAATTGCTGCGGTTCAAACCCGCAGCAATTAAGTAAAAACAACCGCAGCAATTAAGCTTTTTTCTAGTAGTGGATGGCCACGTGGACACCGAAAGTGAGACTTATTGGTCCTATGAGGACTCAACCTATAGGCCGGAAACCGAGCCGGTGGAAACCCCATATGATGGGGAGGATGATGATGTGAGTGGAGAGAGTGAAGACGATGGCACTCTCGGGAGAATCGAGGCGCTGCTCCAATAATACCACCGGGAGCGCGAAGAGAGAAGACAACGCCGAAGGCGCCGAGCGGGGCAACCTTCGGGCATGGCTTCGAGAGGAGGAAGCCAAGGTGCTTCTAGAGTCCATGTTGAACCACATGGAGGCCAAAATACGGGAGGTCCAACCATAAGGATCTCCAAATTTATCAAAGAAGCGCGAGATTTGGGATGTAAACCGTTTCATGGAACGGGAGACATCTCTGTTGCGGCCGAATGGATCAAAAGATTCAACGAAGCGGCCCTTGACATGCAGCTGCCACCCAACATGAAACTGAGGGTGGCAACAAGATTGCTCGAAGGCATGGCGTCCACGTGGTGGGACGGAGTCAAAGGAAAATACGGCGAGGCCGTCACTTGGGAGAACTTTCGGCAGGAGTTCTTCAACCAATACTACTCCGACTTCGAAGTAAACATGAAGAGGAGGGAGTATACGAACTTGATACAAGGAGGTGCATGTACGGTGAAGGAACTTGAGCACAAGTTCAGAAAGCTTGCCGAATTCATACCGGAGTACATATGTGATGAGAACCGGATGGTGAATCACTTCTGGGATGCCTTGGACCTTGACATACGCGAGAGGGCAACACAATTGCCTAATATGACGTTTAGTCAAGTGGTTGAACAAGGCCTGAAGGGAGAGAAGGAGTGGGAGGAAAGAAAGCGAAGGAACGCCGAGGAGGCGAAGAAGAGGAAGTGGGAAAGCCATGGCCCCCAAGGTTCTAACAAAAAGGGGAACCACGGGGGAGGGGGATCGTTCAGAGCACCGGCACCGCCATCCAAGGGAAACCCGGCTTTCGGCGGGCACAACTCGAGCTCACAAGCCTCAACGGCGCCTAGGTGCCGAAATTGCAACAGGAGCCACGCCGGTAAGTGTCGTGACCCTCCTCGGTGCTACCAATGTGGAGACACGGGGCATATTAAACCAAATTGCCCTCAACTTGGTGGGAACCGGGGGGCGGGATCAAGCGGCGCTACTACGGCAAGTAGGAGTCGGACCGGAGCACCCCATGCTAGTACGGGGCAAGGGGGAGTGAGCACCAGCGATGCGTCGTCCGTGAATCAAGGAAGGACGCAAGCTAGAGTCTACGCAATGACCGAGGCCGATGCTCGGGCTAATCCCGACTCCGTCGCAGGTAATACACTTATTCTGGGCATTTCTAGGCTTACTTTGATCATATACGTCGTTGGGATTGAGTGCGGGCCACCCCGGGGTCAAACCGGGTGAGTTAGACCAAATCAGGCTGGAAACAGCCACTGCCGGCCAGGCACGCCCGCAGGCACGCCGTGCGTGGCACCGTGCCTGGGAGGCAGTGGCTCCCCGAGGAAATTCCGCCAGGCACGCCCGCAGGCACGCCGTGCGTGGCACCTTGCCTGGGAGGCAGTAGCCTCTCCGAGGAAATTTGGCCAGGCACGGCCGCAGGCACGCCGTGCGTGGCACCGTACCTGGGAGGCAGTGGCGAGCAGGGGGACTCCTATGCACGCACGGCCGTGCGTGGACCCCCGGCAACCGAAAACTCATTTTTTCGCTCCGTTCTTTTACGCTTGGACCCCCGTTTGATTCCAAACATTAGTATGAACCTAATAACCTCCTAATGACGTGTAAAAACATTAGAAAAGGTATCTTACATGGTGTATAAATGTAGGAACATTAAAGATCAATGGTAGGTGTGCGAGGATCCTCATCGATACCGGGGCACAACGCTCATTCGTGAGTGAGGCGTTCGCCGAGGGCCTTGACATGCCATTGGCGCCTATGACGCAAACATTACTGGTCTCCACACCGTTAGGACATGACGTGGAGAGAAATCATTACTATCCATCATGTGAGGTGGAAGTGACGGGTCAACCCTTGACTTGTGATTTCGTACCTCTAAGCATGTTGGAGTTCGATGCGATCCTAGGGATGGATTGGCTAGAGAAACACCATGCGCGAGTAGATTGCTACACCAAGGTGTTGGAGCTCGAGGATGATCAAGGAAACACGCTATGTTTCGAGGGAGATCGGGGGAAATCTAATGCTTGTATCATATCCGTGATGAGAGCACGGAAGATGATGAGGAAGGGATGCCACGCATACCTTGCCTATGTGGTGGACGATACCAAGAAGGAAGTCGACATCAAAGATGTACGAGTCGTATGCAAATACCCAGATGTCTTTCCCAAAGACCTACCGGGGCTTCCACCCGATAGAGAGATCGAATTTGTAATTGAAGTGGAGCCGGGAACCAAACCCATTTCGATTCCCCCTTATCGAATGGCACCGGCCGAACTTCAAGAGCTGAAGGTCCAACTACAAGAATTATTAGACAACGGATTCATCAGACCCAGTCATTCACCGTGGGGGGCACCCGTACTCTTCGTGAAGAAGAAGGATGGCACACTGAAAATGTGTATTGACTACCGACAGTTGAACAAGGTCACAATCAAGAACAAATATCCCTTACCGAGGATTGATGACTTGTTTGATCAACTTCGGGGGGCAATAGTGTTCTCGAAGATTGATTTGAGGTCGGGGTATCATCAGTTGAAGATCAAGAAGAGCGACATACCTAAGAGCGCATTTCGCACTAGATATGGTCATTACGAATTCCTTGTGATGTCATTTGGTTTAACTAACGCACCGGCGACATTCATGGACTTGATGAACCGTGTGTTTAGTGAATACTTAGATCAATTTGTGATAGTATTCATTGATGATATCTTAATATATTCCAAGAGCGAGGAGGAGCACGAATGTCATTTGAGACTTGTACTTGATCGGCTAAGGGAAAAGCAACTCTTTGCCAAGTTCTCAAAATGCGAATTTGGGCTCAAAGAGATCGGTTTCCTCGGTCATGTCATATCCGGTTCGGGCGTTGCTGTGGACAACGCCAAGATTAAAGCTATTATGGATTGGGAGAGACCCAAGAATGTGAAAGAGATACGTAGTTTCCTTGGCTTAGCGGGATACTATCGTAAATTTGTTGAAAAATTCTCCGTATTGGCGTCTCCATTAACGAAGCTCACAAAGAAAGGGGCCAAGTTCATATGGGACGACAAGTGTGAGAAAGGGTTCCTTGAACTGAAGAAACGACTTACCGAAACACCAGGACTAGCCCTACCTATACAGGGGATAGGGTATGATATCTACAGTGATGCTAGCATCCAAGGGCTTGGATGTGTACTGATGCAAAACGGTCGGGTGATTGCCTATGCTTCTAGGCAATTGAAGAAACACGAGGCGAACTACCCTACCCACGATCTAGAGTTGGGGGCGGTAGTGTTTGCACTAAAGATTTGGAGGCATTACCTCTATGGGGAGACATGTCACATTTTTACCGATCATAAGAACTTGAAGTACGTATTCACTCAGAAAGAGTTGAATATGAGACAAAGGAGATGGATGGAGTTGATCAAGGACTATGACTTGATCATCGACTATCATCCCGGAAAGGCCAATGTAGTGGCCGATGCACTGAGCAGGAAAAGTATGTCGGGACATTACTCACATGTCTACGAACTTTAAGGGCACAAATGGAGGTGTCCACGAGTGGGGTCCTCATTGCTAGATTCGAGGTTAGGCCTACATTGCTGAGTGAGATCAGTAGATGTCAGGCCACTGATGAAGAATGCCAGAAGATCCGCGAGAGGATCCTTGAAGGGCCCGTGGAGAACTTTCGGGTACGTGATGACGGTCTTTTACTGTTTAAAGACCGTGTATGCATACCAAAGAGTGAGGAGCTCCAAAAGTCCATACTAGAGGAGGCTCATTCTTCGGCATATGCTATGCATCCAGGAGGTACTAAAATGTACCGAGACTTGAAGGAAAGTTACTGGTGGTCGGGTATGAAGAGAGACATCGCAGAGTACGTGAGTCGATGCCTTACTTGCCAACAAGTTAAGGGAGAGCATCAGCACCCGGCGGGGCTTTTGCAGCCACTGACCATTCCAGAATGGAAGTGGGAGCATGTTACCATGGACTTCGTGGTGGGGCTACCACGAACAGTGAACAACTACGATGCAGTATGGGTAGTGGTTGATAGGCTCACTAAGAGTGCACACTTTTTGCCTATCAACATTACCTATCCTCTCGAAAGATTGGCAAAGCTATACACGGAGGAGATTGTGAGACTTCATGGAGTTCCCATATCCATTGTCTCGGATAGGGACCCACGTTTCACATCCCGATTTTGGCCAAAGTTTCAAGCATCTTTGGGAACGAAACTGAAGTTTAGCACAACTTTTCATCCACAGACAGATGGACAATCTGAGAGGGTGATACAGATTCTGGAAGATATGCTTAGGGCATGTGCTCTGGAGTTCCAAGGAAGTTGGGACAAGCATTTGGCTCTAGTAGAGTTTGCCTATAACAACAGTTATCAGGCTTGTATTGGCATGCCTCCATATGAGGCATTGTATGGGAGGAAATGCAGGACACCGTTGTGTTGGGACGAGGTTGGCGAGGCCAAGCTCGAAGGGGTTGAACTTGTGGAAATCACCAAGGC